AAAAGAGTAGGGAGAAAAGATGTGAGAAGGGGAGAAGATGTGACAAGGGGAAAAGGAGAGGGAATCAAGGGGTTTAAGAGGGACAAAAGAGTGGAAGAGATGTGACAAGGGGAAGAGATATAGGAAGAGAAGAGCTTTTTTTTTTTCTTTTTTTTTTTCTTTTTTTTTTTTCTTTGTAAGAGAAAGAGAAAGAGAAGAGAGAGAAGATAGCTCGTAGGTTGTTTTACGTTTCTTTTCCCTTTCTGAACCACCCGTTCACACAGGAGCCCAAACGTTGACGTAGCTACCTTCCAAGGCTCGCGAGCCTGCAACTGGGCATTTTCAAAGTGGCCGGCTGGGCATTTTCAAAGTGGCCGGCCGCCTTCACTACCGGCCAAGGCCAGAATAAAAAATGCTCTCACCGCCGGCGCCTATACCAGTTAGTGCATACTCGCACTACCGTCTTCCCCCGAACACAACGCAACCTCTTCCTAGTGTATACAAGGCATCTTTCCTGTCTGATACAGTTCTAATGAGGGTGCGTTGTGTTCGGGGGAAGACGGTAGGCCCTCAAAATCGCAGAATGAACAAATCAGCGAGCAGATCGAGTCCTTGTAAAGGGGGGGACTCGATCTGGCCGCTGATTTGATCAGTTTGCGGTTTTGAGGGCCTAGTGTGAGTGTACTCTAGAGCACTACTCTGGATTTATACTACCCAGGTTCATGTGAACTGGTGGTTTAATAATAAGCTGGTCTTTCTGAATGAAAGAAGCTAGTTTGCCTTTCATGGCTCCAATACATCATCAGAACATATGCGGTAGTTTCCTTCTTTTTTTTTCTTTTTTTTTTATGCGGTAGTTTCCTAGGATGATTCGCTGCTGCTTTCTACTTCTTTCGCTCGTTGAGGTGGGGCTTGTGACCTTGGGCCTTGCTCTACTACTACTAACGACATGCACAGAAGACAAAAAATTATGGCTCTGTATCAGTCTATGTTCTAGCGGAGGACTCATTCCCATTTTGCATTTTGTATGTTTGGTGAGTATTGGAGCGAGGCCCCTTGTCGACGACCAAGGCTACCGTCTTCACGCGAATAAATCGCCCCGCCATTATCGCTGCATCTGGTCTGAAATTTGTTCCAAATACATCTATAATGACCGGGCGTTCTGTTCGGGTGAAGACGGTACGGCTCGGCCCGAGTGCCTTACCCGGGCCCATCGGTCGTCATCGATCGTCCTCCTATTGTAAGGAACGCCGGCCCTGTTTCCCGGCTTGTATAATACAAAAAGGGGGAGATTTTTTTTGGTAAAAAAAAAAAAAAGTAGATTCCGTTTCGTCTCTTCTTTGAACATCGCCGGCCTTGAGAACATCATAGGTTTTTTTGTTTTTTTTTTATCTATGTATATTATTCCGCATATATCTCATCCTTCTGCTACTCGAACATCATCGTTGAACTGATCGGCCCCCAGGTAATTCAGATTAATTTTGTTTTTTTTTTGGAAAAAAAAATCTCATCCTTCTGCTACTCGAACATCATCGTTGAACTGATCGGCCCCCAGGTAATTCAGATTAATTTTGTTTTTTTTTTGGAAAAAAAAAAGATTTGTTTAAGCCTCTAGAATATCTCCATTTAACTGATCGGCCCCCAGGTAATTCAGATTAATTTTGTTTTTTTTTTGGAAAAAAAAAAGATTTGTTTTGTTTTATTAAAGGTAGGACCACCCTGAGCGAGTCCCCAGGCAGCATTCGCGCTCTGAGATAAGAGTCTCAGCTCATCCCTCCATGCTTAACAAGTCTTTTCTCTTTTTTTTTTTTAGGCTAAATTTTCATACAGCTGTTACAGCATTTTTTTTTTTTTTGGTTATATATCGCAGTCACCCCCCTTCGCTGATAGGCTTTTCTACAAAAAAATATTATTTTATTTTAATCATTTAATGTATGATTAATTTGGATGTGTATTTTATTCTCATTTCTCCCCAATATGGACCCCCATGATACAGGAAATCGTACGACCTACAGAACAGATCCTGTTCAAGTACAGTCGTAAATTTATTTTATTTCATGCATCGAATTTCATCTGGATTAAATTTATTTTATTTCATGCATCGAATTTCATCTGGATTAGAACGCAGGGGTGTATTTCAGCAGTTTGATGGGTGTACTGACTGAGCTAGGCCAGTTAGTGTAGATTCCTTTTTCTCTTTTTGTCTTTTTATTTTTAAAGAAGGGGCGACGACCTTGAGATATAGTCATCGAACGGACCGACCGAAGATAATTCAGAATTGTAGTATTGTGCTCATCTGCTTCCAGTGGAGTCCGGACTCAGGTCTGTATTTCAGCAGTTCATGGGTGTACTGACTGAGCTAGGCCAGTTGGTGTAGATTCCGTTTTTTTTTTTGTTTTTTTTTTTTGGTAGATTCCGTTTTGGTTAGGAGAGAAAAGACAATTAAAAAACAAAAGAAGCTCCTTTATTTTAACATTTGGACATCAATCATCCCGGTTTACGTCGTTTCCCTGAAGAGGGACCGATGAACGGCCAAGGAGGGTGATACTTAAACCTTAAACCTCTTTTTCCGGTCCTCTTGTTTTCACTTCTTGTCTTCTTGCCTTTCCATTTTTTATCGCTTGGAGGAGCTCCCCGCGTTCGAGCCGTCGACCTTTCGAGACAGAGTCAATTCGCTTTTCCACTTCTCTTATTTCACAACTGTGTTTTTTTTTTGCTTGTCAAGCTCTGGACTTCCTCTTTGGTTTTTTTTCATTTCACCTTTTCCTTGTTTTGCTTATACCTTTGCTCTCGTATAGAACTCGTAAAAATTAACAGAGAACGCGTGAAAATTAAAAACTACAAAAACAAAAAGGTAGTATATGTACCAGGAAGTAGACTTGCCTCCCCCCCTCCTCTACTTTTTACTTTCCTCTTCTAATTGGTTATGGCCCTCGCTGCACTACTCTCCACATGCACAAAAGACAAAAAAAGGCAATGTATCTTTCCATGTTCTAGCGGTGGATTCAGTCTCTTTTTGCACATTTGTAGAGTAGTGCAGCGAGGCCCTATATGGTATATTGGCTTCTGGTATCTCCAATTATTCTGTGAGTGTATTTCATCTGATGAAGTATGCTCTTTTTAATGCATTACTTTTTTTTGAATGCAGGTTCTGTGATTCATGCAACATCTGATGAACAAGATATGCGCACTTTCCAGTCATCAGCCAATAATGAAAAAAAAAAAAAAAAAAAAAAACCGTGTTCGTTTCTGTCGGTCTAACTATTCATTCCAACCAGCCCGATTTTTACTCACCACTTCAACGTTTTTTCTTTTTTTTTCTTTGTATTCCAAAAAATTCACTTGCAGAAGGCCGGGGACCCCACTTCAACGTTTAACATTACCCCTCTAGGAAAGACAATTTTTTTCCGGGAAAATATCAGCTTCGAACAGAATCTTTATCCAAAGAGAAAAGTGACTGCACGAATTCCTATGTGAAGTGTCTGGAACCCGCCCCCCCAAAATCCCAACTCTCATTTCCCAGTTTCTCCATTTGAAAAATGCGAAACCGCAACACAAATAGATAGCACTAGTAATAATCATAACAAGAATCACCATTACAAAAAAACAGCGTTGTGCATCCCAGGCCCATTTTTATATGATTGTGGCAGCATTCACTTCTCGATTTATGCGTGTCATACTTGCGCAGGGGGCATGTTAGTCTTTTTCTTTTTTCCTGTACGGTTCCAATTTTAACGGATGTCCAGGAGGACCGAGCGGTGAAAGCCATAATCATAAACGCATGCCCGCAAATGTCAGAAACACGCCGCCGTGCATGCGGGCGCACGTTGGGCGGGATAATAACAATTGTGAATTTAATTTATAATAACAACGCATCACAGATATATCTCAAGGAGTAACATCATTGACACCATGGCGAAAAACTTCACTTAAAAAAAATGAAAACGACTAAGCAAATCTGTTATCCTCCACAAACAACAGTTGATAGGGAATAATAACAAGTTATTAACAACGTATTAAACAGCAACAAATAATCCATGCAAAATACAAGACACCCCTAACGCGTTTCAAAACGTAATAATCACAATGCAGCGTGACATAGGATCCCCACAAACAAAAGTTGATACGTAATAATAACGACGTAATAAACAGCGATAATAATAAACAACAAAATAATCATCCATGCAAAATACCAAACAACCCTAACGCGTTCCAAAACCTAATGATCACAATTCAGCGTGACATTTGCTCCTCAAACAAAAGCTGATACGTAATAATAACGACGTAATAGACAGCAATAAGAATGCATGCAAAATACCAAACACACCTGGCGCGTTTCAAAACGTAATAAATATCACAACGCAGCGTGACATATACTCCACAAACAAAAGTTGATACGTAATAATAACAACGTAATAAACAGAGATAATAATCCATGCAAAGTACCAAACTCCCCTAACGCGTTTCAAAGGGTAATACAGTAAATATCACAATGCAGCGTGTCCATATGTCACTCATCGCCATGCACCCACGATAAATAAACTCAATGGCCACTACACATCACATAACTTTCGTTATGCTGATGCGTGTGAACAAATACTTCGTTTTAATGACGCTTCACAAAGTAATTAATTAACCAACCGGCCTAGCTCAGGGGCCAAGTCCCACTAGCAGCGTTGAGCTACCTCAACGCCTGAATCTGGACGTGTTTGTGGAGACGTGCAGTTCAAGAAACTCAACACCACTTCTGCACATCTCCGCAAGAGCGTCCAGATTCAGGCATTGAGGTAGCTCAACGCTGCTAGTGGGACTTGGCCCTAGTTGGTACACCCACGAACCGTCAAAAGAAAGAAAAAAAAAAGAATCATCGCCATGCCATTTTTTAAAAAGAGAAACGAAGGAACAAAAAAGTAATTCATTAAAGAAGAACAGACTACTAATTAAGGCAAAAAGAAAAAAGACATCATGATTCCAACGGAACAGAGACAAGGAAAGACAGCTAGCTTGTCTATTGCACGCACCTGCGGCGCTGTTCTCGGGAGATTCCGATGGTCGAGCAGCAGTCTTCCCCAAGGGCAAAGAAGATGAATTCGTCAAGGGTGTTTGCCCGTTTGCACCAGCGGCGGAGGAGGCGCCGTTTGTCGCAGGGACAGGCACAGTCGGGCCGGCAGCAGCGGAGACTGGAACATGGCCGTCCGCACTCCCATTGGCGTATTTAGGAGGGAGCAGCACCCTGTCCACACCGTGGATGGTGATTTTCGACGTTGCATACAAGTCGGGAGCGACGACCAATCCCCGCGCCGACGAGTATCCAACCATCAAACTGTTGTCCCATTGAACGTCGACGGAGAAATTCCCTCCATAATCACCAGGATTCTTCCTCAAAAACGATGCGGTGTAGCTGCCATTGAGCACGTGAAACTTCAGCACCTCGTCTAGCTTTGCCCTGTCGCCTAACAATGCAGCATTGGCAACCATGAAATTCGTGATGGCCTCGTTGCTGGGAGCAAAGAGCGTGTTGTTTGTCAATTCACCAAGGTAAGTCGGACCAACTCGACGGACGAGGAAGGCAATCTGGGTGTAATTCGAGTTCCTACCGAGAGCACTAATGAAAACGTCCGCAGCGCCCGAGCTCAGGGCGCCGGCGCCATCGCTGGAAGAAGAAGAAGAAGACTCCAGCGGAGCGTCGGTGGCGGCAGTCATTTCCATGGAGGAGGAAGAAGGTGGGGAGGAGGAGGAGCCCAGCATGTCCTCCTCGGATGTCGAAAAAGTAGAAGCGAGAGGCGCAGACGGAGCAGCATCGTAGTCTGAAACATCGATGTCGGCGTACTCAGGAGGGAGCAGCACCGTGTCCACACCGTGGATGGTGATGCTCGACGTTGCATACAAATCGGGAGCGACGACCGATCCCAGCGCCAACGAGTAGCCAACTCTCAAACTGTCCCCTTGAACGACGACGGAGAAATTCCCTCCATAATCACCGGGATTAGTCCTCAAAAACAACGCACTGTAACTGCCATTGAGCACGTGAAACTTCAGCACCTCGTCCAGCTTTGCATTGTCAGATAACAATGCGGCATAGGCAAGCATGAAATTCGTGATGGCCTCGTTGCTGGGAGCAAACAGCGTGTTGTTTGTCAATTCACCAAGATCAGTCGGACTGACTTGGCCCACGAGGAAGGCAATCTGAGTGTAATTAGAGTTCCTGGCGAGAGCGCTAACGAATCCGGCAGTAGCGTCGGCGACATCGCTGGAAGCAGCGGCGGTCATTTGCATGGAGGAGGAGGAAGGGTCGACTGCCGAAGGCGAAGAGGCAAGAAGAGGAGCTCCGACATCGGACATCGGCGCCAACGAATCTTCGGCCAAGGAACTAGGAGCAAGAGAGCCTAACGAACCTTCATCATCAGCAGGATACTCCTCAAGTATCCAACTCCCGCTGGCTGCAGCGAGCGAAGGAGCAGCAGCCTCCGAGTGACTAGAGACCGCTACCACCTCATCAGCGGCAGAGAGAGACAACGGCAGACTTGCAGATGCCGGTGGCACTGCAGCGTATTCCGGCGGCAAAAGAACCTTGTTGATTCCGTGGACGACTATCTTGGGATTGGCGTACAAGTCTGGCGTTACGATTTGCCCTAACGAAGCAGCGTTGCCTACGAAAACCTCGGTCCCGCCGCCGCTCACGACGATCTCGAAGCCCGTGAAATTGTCATACACGCCTGGATGCTCCTTAAGCCACGAGAAAGTGTATCTTCCCGCCAAGAGGTGATACAAAAGTATATCATTCCGAGCCGTCGCGTTCGTAAGCAATTGGGCCATCTCGACGCTAGAAGACATGCCTTGGTTGCTGGGCGCGAACAACGTGTCGTTCTCCAGAGAGTCCAGCGCAGCGAGATTATTCGGGCCCGCAGAAGCCAGCAATTGGCCAATTAGCGAGTAATCGGGGTGGGCCTTGAGGGCCGCGACAAGCTCACCTGAGTAAGAGGGAGCGGAGGAGGAAGGAGAAGACGAAGACCCCAAAAACTTTTCGTCTGGAGGGCCACTGTAATCCTCCATTACGTCAGACGAAGGCGCGCCCTCCTGCCACGCCGAAGAAGAAGAAGAAGAAGAAGAAGAGGGTGACTGATCAGACGGATCCGCAGTATCATCAGTAAACTCGCCAGGCGGGGGCATAGCATTCTCCACCGACAACGGAAACAGGATTGAATCTATGCCATGAACGACACCATCTTCTCTAATGATGTCGTCTGCCGCAGTGATACCTGCGCCTTGCACAAACGTAGTCCCGTCCTCGACTTCAACGATCAGATTCTCCCCCTCCAAGCTGCGCAGCGACCTCCCAGCCGTCAGATTAACAGCTAGAATCTTGCTATTCACGAAATGATAAAACACGAGTCGCTTCAACAACTCGACGTTCTTGGGATCCGTAAGGAACTTCGTGTCGCCCACGTTTAGCGCCTCGATAACGTCGTTCGTCGGAGCAAATACTGTCAACGGCGATGTGGTATCGAGACTGACCGTTAAATTGGCCTTCGTGATCAACGACACTAGAGTGCTGTATTGCGGGGCTTCTTTGAGGGCAGCCATGATGGACGACGACGGCTCGCGCCTTTGCGTAGGAGAGGCGGGAGAGGGGGGAGGGGGAGATGAGGAGGAGGAAGCAGCGCGCGTGCGCGGGGGAGACTTGCCGGATGCCGGTGCGCTACTGGACCCGCGGACGGCATTGCCGCTCTTTCGCGGGGAAGGGGAGGGGGACGAAGACGGTGTCTCTCCGACAACAGCCAAGATTGAACAGCAGAGTAAAAAGCTCAAGAAGAAGAAGGAGGAGGAGGAGGAGAAGAGGAAAATTGAAGAGGAGGGAGAAGAGACAGATCGAAGCTTGCTGCCTTTCGACATATTGCTTCCTGCACAGTTATGAGAACTTCCGAAAAAACAAAAAAAACAAAAAAATACAAAAAATGAAAGAGAAAAAGAAAGTGGGATATACTTATTTACCCCCCGATCTGACTTCCGGAAATGGACACCTCTCTCTTGTCCGTTGCTCGCTCGTTTGCAATTGGCTATAAATCATTCACTCGAGCTTGATGCTATATTCAGCCATCTGATTGTCAAATTAAAACGTAACTATTTATATTTATTCAATCAAGTACTTGGCAGGCCAAGAGATGGCCTACCGACAAAGAGAAGAAGAAGAAGCCAAGCTGACAGTGACAGATGCTAGGATATATAATCACAACGCGAAAAAGCCTACGACGTACCTGCACGATAAATAACAAGCAGCCCTCTCTCTCTCTCTCTCTCTCTCTCTCTCTCTCTCTCTCTCTCTCTCTCTCTCTCTCTCTCTCTCTCTCTCTCTCTCTCTCTCCACCCCCGTAGACTAGCAAAGAGACTCGGTACTACGTTCACGCACCTCTTTTGATCAATGCTGATCGGAAGACTGTGCGTGGCTGGACTACATTATAGAGGAAATTACCGAGGAAGAAGAAAGGACGGCAGATAGAAGAAGACGATAAATAGGAGGGACGAAGCAGCAAGAAGGGGAGCACTGTCGGCTCGAGATGTGGCAAGAAGACGCGCCTGAAACGAGGTTTTACCTACTACGTACTGGCCAGATTAGCAGAAAAGTGGGGACAGAGCGACAATGGGGAACTAGAATCGCGGCCAGAAACTCCAAGGAAGATAGATGGATTCTGTTACCACAGGAGAGGAGTAGGGGAAGGAGTAGGAAAAAGAGTAGGAATCAGGCGATACGACGACAGAAATGGTGGAGAAGAGCTCACCTGGTAAGGAAGGGCGGACATTGCGCGCCGAAATGATCAGGACAAGCCCGCGTCAGCCCATTACTTGACACCACAGCACTGAGGCCATGACATGTCTCAGGAGGATGACACTGACTTTTATTCCTCATACCACGTGAGCAGGCATTAACCGCAACAATAGTAGGAAGGAGAGCAGAGAACAGGAGAGAAGTAGGGAGGGGGGCAAGGAGAGGAGCACGCAGAGGAGGAACAATGAGAGGAAAACGAAGAACAGGTCTGTCAGAGGAAAAAAGCCGTGAGTAGAAGCAACTCTTGCGGGAGCGAAGACACCCCAGAGGAAGCGGGAGAACACAGCCGGTCAGAGAGAAGGAGTACAAGAGAGAGAGAGAGAGAGAGAGAGAGAGAGAGAGAGAGAGAGAGAGAGAGAGAGAGANAGAGAGAGAGAGAGAGAGAGAGAGAGAGAGAGAGAGAGAGAGAGAGAGAGAGAGAGGACCGACAAGGAAAGTGATCGCGAGACAGTACGCGTTAAGTCAGAACAAGACAAAAAGAGAGTCGGAGAAGAAAGAAAGAAGAGAAGAGACGAGAGGGCATCAGGAAGTTCAAGGGCACTAATGAGAGCGGCTAGAGGATGCGCGTCGGACACGTACAAGTCCGCCGTGAGGTCGAGGCAGAGAGCTACCGTTTCTAGCCAAGAGTAAAGAGATGGCCGCCGACTCTCGTACGTGACAGCAGCTGCCGGTAGTTTCTGAATAGCGGCGGCAAAAAACAAAAATCAGATCCCACGAGGACAGGCCGCGCTCAAGCACCTCGCTTCTCAAAGTTTGATTACCCGAAAGTTCGCGCTCAAAGTCAAAAATCGTCTCCGCGAGCGTTGCGTATCGGTATCGGTTTCTTTCTGTCCGTATGTGCAGTGCACCCCGCCGCGCTTGGGATCTTGCCAGCTGGCGGGAGCGATCCTCGTCCGACCCGCGCGCGCGCACACCCACATCAGAAAACACGTACTTTGGGTTTTCTCTTCCCCCGTAGCACGCCGCGCTTTCTTCCATCCGATCTTCAGGGGCACCCGCGTGGCCCGCGGCGCATTCTTCCATTCGATTCGATCTTCAGGGGCGCCGTCGGCCTCGAGAACGGCCCCAGGTAATTCAGAATCATGTTATTCTGTCATCTGATCTGATTGCATCTGGCTTCGAACTTGGGTCTGATTCATATTTCAACAGTTCACAGGTGCACAAAAAGGCAGATCAATAGCAGTAGCAGACATCTGCATGTCCCCACAGCACGTCCAGGCCCGACGGTAGAGACACGTAGCCCGCCGTTTCTCGACAACCTGAACAAGAGGCATAAGTTTGGGAAAAGTCGTAAAACCTCCCCGCGACGAAACCTTTGTATCCATTTCCCCCCCAACGGGGAAAAAGGTGCCGCAGGCCCCACAATTACTAGAACGAATCTTCGGCTAGAACATGGGTGGATGCACCGCTGAGCAGAGGGCCCTATAGCACCTTATTACGGTGGTCCCGCGTCCGGCGGCTCTTCCGTGCAAGGATATCCATACTTCCCCAAAAGGTGGCAGAATCAGCCAAGAAAGAGGTCCCATGAATATTCCCTTCGTCTCCATCCCAGGCCCTGAAGTGGTGAAGATTGTAAAACCGTGTGCAGTGGCCTAGCTCAGGGCATACTCACACAAACCACAAATTATGCGGGTTGGGGAACGCCCCATTTGCGGTTTTAGGCACGGTAGTGGTCACATTGCTTAGTAAGACACAACGGCCTATAGCCTGATAGACTAAGGGCGTCGTTAGACACTCAGCGCGTCCTCGAGGACGAATCCTCGGGGAAATTTGGGATGTCCGCTCCGAGGACGAATCCTCGGGGAAATTTGAGGCCTCGTTCCACCTGTCCTCGGGGAACGGCTCGGAGGACGAATCCTCCGGGCGGTTCCGCGGTCATTTTCTTAGTACCATACGCAGGCGCAGGAGGTATGTCCATGGTTCGTTTGGGGACGTCCGCTCAAGAGGCCTTGTGACGAACCACTTTCTGTAGCGCACGACTTTCTGCGCGATTGCAATGAGGGGTCCTAAGCTGGGAAGGTTGGGTCAATTACGGGAGATCGGGATTGGAAGGAAATTGCATCGGTGTCCTCGCTTCTTCGTCTTTTTGCGTCGGTTCTTTTCGGATGGTTGGGTTAAGGCCCGGGTGAGTCCCGGGACGATCGATTGATTGATTGACTGTGTCTGCGGCGCGCTGTCGTGCGCGCGATTAATAAATGTTGACGTCGTTTCTTTTGTTTCGGTTTCGGACTTTTTAGGCACGGACATCGTGCGGGAATTTTGCGTCGTTCTTTTTGAATTTTCCTTTTTGAATCTTGGCGAGCCTCGTTGACTCTCGGAATTTCGGACTTTCTTTTCGGAGTTTGTGCTTTTTGCTTTTTTCGCATTAGATAGGAATTTAGGAATTTTGTAATTAGGATTTTTCTTTTTGCCGCGCAACGCCTTTTTGCTTACGCGCTTCTTCCTGCGGCTGCAACGAAATTCTGCTTAGTCGGCGCCTTAAATCATGTGTGTAACTGTAATTTTGGGCGGGCGCCATTGTAACTGTATCTTTTCTTCATGAGCTTCGCCTTTCCCGCCCTTCTTCTCTTTCTTTTCGCTGAGTTTTGGTAGTCGCGCTCTGAATGATCGGATCGATGCGTGGAGAGTGGCTACGTCCCCCACGCCGCGATTAGGCCATGCAGAACGTAGGCGTTCCTTCTCTAATTGTCCTTCTAAGTCCTTGTAATTCCGTGTTCTTCGCACATGCATGCACGCTATAAATTTCGACTGCGCGATTAGTTATCTCTCTTAACCAGCTAAGCGGAAGCTCGGGGTTGCGGGATCAGAGAGAGTCGGCACACGAGCAAAGTAAGAGGTGAGTAGAGCAGGAGTCGGGCGACCCGACGAGCTGGTGCCAAACGCGCGGGGTTGACGCGGGCCACGACGGACCGTGGGCGTGGGCAAACTTGACAGGTGCGGGAGGACTAAGTGAGGTGACGGCTTCGTAGGTTGGTGCGCGACGACGGACTGTCCGCATCGAAGAGAGAGAGAGAGAGGAAAAGGGAGTTGAGGTTGATGGACGCGGATTTGCTGTTTCTTTTATCTTTTCTCCCTCCTGTCTCGTATATAAATTTTGATTTCGGTTCCGGGTGATTTGCCCGTTTCTGTTTTTCGGAATCTGGACTTGGTTTTTCGCTCACACTTATCCTTGCGATTTCCCATCTCGGATATTGTGTACGAATGTATGAATGAATGCATGGATGTCATGTTTGGTTGCTTGTCTTTCTACCTGATCCTTGCCTTTGCCTTTGTTTACTGCCTTTGATGCACTCATGAGTAGGGTAGGAACTTTGTGCAGTCGTTAATCCTGTTCTTATTTCTGCTTATCTTTTGATCGAGCTGTTGGGATTGTTGCATTTTGCATACTCGAAAATTGCGGAATGAGTAGGTAGTTGGGTAACTGTTTGTCCAGAAACCAGCAAACGCTGTAGGGACTCGCGTAAGTACGACTTGCTTTGCGCACTTACACGTGTCCCCGCGTAGCGATTCACGACCAAACCACACATAACGAGGACGACGAATGATTGGATGTGGTCATTCTGCGTCAGCAATGAAGTAATCGTCCCGTGTGAACACGTGTAAGCACGACTCGATTTGCGCGACGGAGGTCCGAGGTTCGAGGCTAGCGGACGGCGACGTGAAGGCGACGGAGCAGCGAGGAGCGAAGGGGTTGAAGGTCTCGTGGGACTATCCCCCTTTTGTTTTGTTGGGGGAACCCGATTACGGGCCCGCG